AATTGGCCTCAGCCCATCCCTCCAGCCTGCCCTTGAGGCACTTGGGAGGCCATTGCTAATTCCCTGCTCTCAAGTAACCTCTTTGGATATTCTTGTGCTGAATCTGTGAAAATGAGACTTCTTAGCACAAATCCATACTCTGAGGCTGCGATTCTTCTTCATTTATGACTGGTGAGCAAGCTGAGGGCTTGGTCGCACTCATTTCAGCACCCTGCATGCCCCCCTGCCGCGCACACGCTGGACCTTAGCAGCACCTTGAAGTTTTGCTCATGTCCAGACATCTTAAATGTATTTTACAGCTGAAAAGTCTGCTCCTCATTGCAGTGGAGCAAGGACTATACAATCAGCATTATAGCGTGATGAAATTATTGTTTTTAACAGGCCATGGAAAATTATACAGCAATTTAAGCATGCAAGCACAGAAGTTTTGAGAAATAAGATCTATTATTTGCCTTATCCACATGGTCTCAAATTTGCCCAAAATTGTATCAAATACCCTTATCTTCAGTCTACAAAATAGGTAGAAAAAATTCAGGTTGGTGCATAATATTTAGTCTCTATTTGGGTGCCTAACTCTTTGTGATAAAAGACATGGTTGCCCCTAAGCCCAGATACAGTTGTGCATGGCTCTACGGAGGCTTGGTCTTCATTTGTGACCCTACTAATTAACACCATTCAAATGAGTATCAAATGAGTAACTACAGATGTGTTTGTGTTTTCTTTACAGGCAGGCTGGAGTCTTTCTCAAAAGAGGGCCACAGAGGATAGGCAGCACGTACAAGAAGGCTGTATACACTCAGTACACCAATCACTTATATGACGAGGTAGTTGACAAACCTTCCTGGCTGGGTTTTTTAGGCCCTATCATTAAGGGAGAAGTTGGAGATTCCATTATTATTCACTTGAAGAACTTCGCTTCCAGAAACTACACACTGCACCCACATGGTGTAACATACACAAAGGAAAATGAAGGTAAGCTTGAGTTGGTTCTGTGCCAGAATTTATCAAAAGTTAACCATTCCTCTGAGTGTAAGTGATATTCTCTCATCAGAGAGAAGACTGATCGAGTAAATAAAGATCTAAAAAAAGGACACAGTCAGTTTAAAATAGGAGCTAAGAAGTTTGATAATTTTTTCAAGAGCAAAGTACAAAGACAAAAGTGGAATTCATAAAGAAGGCGATTTTAGATTAAGATTTCACCTGAAATAAGAGTATCTATATTTCACTGGAAATAAGGGTACAAAGATAGATAAGAAATGCAGGTATTGAGGACATCTAAAGGAAAAATTGATGCTGTTGTGAAGAAGATATTGTTAACAGTGATAACTTACAGTTCCCAATTCTTAACGCTGAGTTTGTATATATTGTAGATAAGGTACCCGTGAGTTTCTTAACATGGAGACACAGCTACTGCTTAATAATAAAATACTGAGATAAAAGCCTGATACAGCTTAAGATGTATTGTAGGGGTGCTCTTGGGGTGAGTGATGATTTGCCCTTGCAATACCTGGTCTTGCCACACACAGGTGATCCAGGATTTTCTGCACCAGACGGCAGCAGAACGTGGCTGTTGGGCCTTGAAAACAGGGTGTGAATTCTTGAGAATATGGTGTTGTCTCAAAAGCAGTTTTTAAAAATTTTTCATTAGAAGAATTTATGAAGTATCAGCTTAACTTCTAGTATTTTGTGAAGTTTTTAATTACAACTAATATGTGGCTTGACACAGACATTCTGCGGGAGCAGAACAGTGTGTTATGCCGCAGTACACGCACTTTTTAGAGCAACGTTTACATTTTTTTCTGTAGCTCTCATTCCAGCAACACGTTTATTCCCTGAGGAATACGCAATATTTTAAATGGTTTCCAAGATTAAGAAATGTTTTACAAATATTTGAACTGTTATCTTTTTTTAGCAGAAGTACATAGTGCCCTCCTAATAAGTTAACAACCATATTTCATGTGCCATTAATCGAAGCACTCCCATGCAACTAAAAGGCAAATGAAGAGACTCCTAAAGGCAAGGAAAAGATCCACTCACCTGGTTTTAAAGGGTTTTTTTTTACCTGTATTCAGATGTTCAGTCCATGTTACTGCAGTGTGTGGTCAACTCCAAAGCACGGCAGGTGCTATCCTGACACCGCCTGTGGATGTGTTGTGTTAATGGTGGCTGCGTGGCATCTTTCAGGTGCTTTTTATCCTGACAACACGACAGATTTGCAAAAGAGAGATGATGCTGTGGAGCCTGGAGGGCAGTACACCTACACGTGGGACGTGACAGAAGATCAAGGTCCTGCTGACGGAGATGCTGACTGCATCACCAGGGCTTACCACTCCCACATAGATGCTCCGAGAGATGTTGCCTCAGGGCTTGTTGGGCCTCTAATAATTTGCAGGAAAGGTAAATAATAAATAAATAAGTAAATAAATACATATGCAAGGTGATTGATGATATTTATTGATAAATATCAGTGAAATAATTTACTAGAAGAGGAGCGATTACAGTTAATTCTTAAATAGCAGCTTTTTGCCTTCTCGATTAGCTGCCTTTCAATAGTATAAAAAGTCAGCGAATATTATTTGCAGAATAGTTTGTCCACAAATCCATATGAGTGAGATGTGTTCACGCTAGTAAAAGGATGTGTGAACACTGACATGAGAAACAGATTTACTGTAATCTTATCACATGCAATATTTATTCTTGGTAAAGTTATTTTATAGTATCTATCAAAACTGATTTTTGTTTCCTGAGTGTCTGTAAGCTTATGTGTACACTCACACTCAAGAAAAGTGGCAAAATATGAAGTAAGCAGTGACCAGCCCTACTGATACTACACTTAAAACTGATGAGAAGACGTCAGTTGCCAAAGACTTTGAATATACCACTTTCTTTTTCAGGTACAATGAGTAACAGCACTGCTAAACACTTTGATGCTGAATTTATCCTTATGTTTTCTGTGATGGATGAAAATCTCAGCTGGTATCTAGAGGATAATATCAGGACATACTGTTCTGAGCCTTACAAAGTTGACAAAGATGATGAGGACTTCCAGGAAAGCAATAAAATGCACTGTGAGAGAATGTTATATTAATGTTGCTGGTCACTGATGTGGTGAAGTAATATTGTTATATGTCGTCTCTTTTAAAGATGAACTGTAGATAATTTCTTTTTTTTTAAGTAGTGCTTTTTCTTGGAGGATTAAGAATGTTCCTTTTAAGTAAAAATAAATTTTAAAAATGATGGCAAGTATTGTACAATCAAACCTTTGGAGCTGTGATATAAAATTCTTATGGGCCAAGAACCTCTTTGCCAGTACAATTTCTCAGCTCCCTAAGCAGAGTTGTGTTACTGTGCTCTTAGTCCTGAATTCCGTACTATAATACTGCAGTTCAGAAAAACAGTTTTTACTGTTAATGTCAACAAAGATGACACTTTTGGCCCTGACATGGACTCAGAATCACAGCAGGAACAGCTGCCCGTGCAGGTAGTTGTGCAGACACAGTGCGTGTCTGATTTTGTCTCACTTTCAAAGGCGCACGGTTTTGTTTTGAACCTCTTTCTGTTTTGGAGAATAGAGGAATGGTTGCATGACACATGCTTTTGAAGAAAAGATCCTCAGCTCTGTGAAGGTAACTGTCATAAATATCGTTTCTTTTAGCAATCAACGGGTACGTGTTTGGATACGTCCCGGACCTCAGGATGTGTGTGGAAGACAAGGTTAAATGGCACCTTTTTGGCATGGGCAATGAGGCTGATATCCATTCAGCCTACTTTCACGGACAGACCTTGATAGAGAGGCAGCATCGAGTTGACACTATCAACCTCTTCCCAGCCACGTTTGTTGATGCTGTCATGATACCGAGGAGTCCTGGGGAGTGGCTGCTTGGCTGCGAAGTGAATGACCACATCGTAGGTACGGGAGAAGTGTCAGTGATCAGAATTCTGAGCTTGAGCTGAGTTACTGAGTCACTGTTTACTGCAGCACTCCCGACCTGGCTATGTGCCAGACAATATTCTCCTCTAGGTAATAAACTATCACAGTAATTGGAATGCCTAGAAGTGTATGAGATGGGCTTGAGCGCGTAGCCGTGGAAATCAAGGAAATTCTTGTCTGTAATGGAAATTGTTATCAGGTGGCAGCAATTAGCACAGCTGCGCTTTTGCAAGCCCCAACTTTAGACAAACAATAGCATCATGTTTGCCTTTTACTGAGGGTAATTAATCACTATTTTCTGTTTGCCAAAAAAAAAGTTTGAGTTCATTCCGTGTTTGGGCCAGGGGCAAAGGACAGGCAGGCTAACTTGCCTGCTGACAAAGACATGTTCTGGAAGGTGCCTTGGCTAATGAGTAGAGATGATCTGCATCTCTCTTCCTGTATTCCCAGTGTTTGGGAACCATCTGAAATACTTAGAAGCTAATCCCACACTTTTCCAGGATTTATATCCCACTTTTCCCTGATCTATATCCCCATAAGTGAGTTAGAGAAGTAATCTGTCACAGAAGCGGGAAGGAACACAGAACTCAAAATCATTCTCCAAGATCTGAAAATTCTGACATAAATAGCTGTATGCTTAGCCTACAGATTCAGCTACACAGAGGTTGTAAGTTTTGGAACAGCTATCACATCAAGCTGCATCCTGATGTGGTTGAAGCATCCTGGGTAAGACTTAAATCCTCCAAATTGGCCTAGTCCATAGCTGTAAAAGGGCTCTCTCTATTCTCTCTACATTCTTCTGTATCTTTCATCTTCCTTTTCATTTGTGGTTTGCATATCCGTCAATCAGTGGAACGGGAATTCTCTAGGGAAGAGGAGAGCTACTGGAAGCAGGAAGAGAGAAAACAAAGTGCAGCTCCGTCTCCCTAGTTTTCTCTACCTCCTTGTTTTTTTCCAGGTGGCATGCAGGCCCTTTTTGAAGTAGAAGATTGTAGGAACTCCACAACGCATCGCAATGAGAGCACAAAGATAAGACAGTACTTCGTCGCTGCTGAAGAGATCATCTGGAACTATGGCCCATCTGCAATCAACCATTTTACAGGACAAGAACTAGTCACTGACAGGTAAATGCTTCTAAGAAGTTTTCCTTTCCAAGCAGAATTGATATGAACGTGCTAAGTAAAGTATGCCTTATGGTAGAACTGACCTTTAAGCAGAATTTCTCATTGTCCTCACCTCTGCTTAAATATTAATGCCAGCATTTTTGCATCTATTGCAATTTCTTTTACACAGTGAATCTCACGTATTTTTTGAACAAAGTAAGACAAGAATTGGTGGCTCTTACAAAAAAGCCATTTTCAAAGAATACACAGATGGTTCTTTCACTGAACACAAAAAAAGGCTCCCAGAGGAAGCACATCTTGGTCTCCTAGGTAAGATATCTAAAATTATTTCATGTCGAGGATTTATGAGAGAAAACTCTCACATCCACCGGCCGCCAGCAGTGCCCCTCTGCCGCAAGGAGGGGCCCTCGGCTCTCCCTGGCTCCTGCAGATGCTGGTGCCCGTGGCTTCCTCCAAGACACACGCTGGGGTGTGAGAAAGCTCTCAAAGGCAATGCTGTGGTGGTCCCCATGGTATGCCATGGTCTCCAAAGGTCAGGCTCTGAACTACAAGGGCAGGCCAGCCCTGTTTATAACCCAGCTGCTGCTGGCCTGGCTCTGCACTGAGCCTGAGGCTGGCACTCGTGTCCCCGTCCAAGGGAGAAGCTGTCCTGCGAGTCACTGGGTGTCCACAAGGAGCTGGGGATGGAGCAGCCCAGTTGCTGCTGGACTGACATACGATTCAGGTCAGGTACCAGGGATCTGGTCTGTGACCACACAGGCCCAGGGGCAGCTCCCTGTGCAATGGGAAAAGCAGCCAGCCATTGATCGCCGTAAGCATGTCGTGATCTGTACGTCCCTTGAGAGAAACACCTTGTCACTAGACCCTGTGCTCTTCCCTAGGACCTGTCATCAAGGCTGAAGTGGGTGAGAGCATCATGGTGACCTTCCGGAACAACGCCAGCCGCCCATTCAGCATTAAGCCCCATGGCGTGAGTTACCGCAAGAGCGACGAGGGGTCATTGTACGGTGCTGCCTCCAGAGGTGCGCCCATTGGCGGGACCCCGCACCGCCAACCACGAGCTGTCGTGCATGCTGATGCACTAAAGGTGGCAACACAACAATGTTCATTAGGCATAACTCCTAATGTTGGTTTCTGTAGTAGGTGCTGAGTCTCCAGCCGCCCATGTGAGTCCTGGGGCCACGTTTACATACGAGTGGAACGTGCCGGAAGACGTGGGCCCCACGGACCAGGATCCCAACTGTTTAACCTGGATTTATTACTCATCTGTGGATACCATCAGAGACACCAGCTCTGGCCTTGTGGGTCCACTCTTGGTCTGCAGGAAAGGAGCTCTGCTTCCTTCTGGGAAACAGGTCAGTCAGAGAAGGAAAATGGAAGCATTTGCATCCCTGTGGCTGAATCTGCTTCTTCTTCCTGAAAGGTGGGTGCCCCCGGGGCTGGCCACAGTAGGACCACTCAGCACCACCTCCTCTCCACACTCACCCATGTGCTGAGGGGAACACACAAAATGAAGAAAGTGTGTTTCTTTTCTTTTTTTTTCTAAAAAAAAAAAAAA